TGGCATAACATTCTGATGTGTTCTTTTTTTTTTTTTTTTTTAAAGCAATTTTAGTTTAAAGTTTTGAAAGTTATTTAAAAAAAAAACACACACACACACACAACGGCAGCATTTTCCGTCACCAAAAGTATTCTTTCTTATTTGCTTCTTGAACTTTGTATATTATTTCAACTTTGGCTATTTCTTTGCTTGTTTTTTAGAAGGCATTTTATGATGCCATGCAAGAGACACTAGAAAGGGATAGCTGACAAGGAAAAAATTAAAAATTGGATAAAAAGTAAATGAATAATGTCATATTACTAAAAAGATGAGAGGCTAATTTGTGCCGACTTTTTGCTAATTTTGTTCAAGCCTCAAAATGAGGAGCTGTCACCCGTTCTGTGTAGCACTGATGACAGTGCCAATGATCCATGAAATAAGCTGCCGCTGGCTTTGTTCTGATAAGAATGAACAAATCTGCACAATGTTCGGCTCCCAGAATCTCATTTTCATACTTGCATGCAGGCTAAAAGAAATAAGCTGTTTGCAGGCTTGATTAATCAGACATTGGAGGGGTTTTTGTCTCTTTGATCTCTTTCGTCTCCTAGGTAACTTGCTTGACATTAATGTTGAGCTTGAGTAAAGACAATCAGGAATTGTCGACCAAACTGATATAAAAATTAAAGACCTTAACACTTTAAGTACTCCAGTAATGGTTCCGCTTTACTTCAGAAAACATCTGTTTTCATTTAATTAAAGAACAAAAGAGAATGGCATAAATATTTTTCATAGAGACCTATTATTCCATAAAAAGTTAAAGTATGATAATTGGTATTTTTAAATAAGTGCCTTGAAAGTGTTCAAAAGGGAGGAAAACTTCATAAATCTGTTACAAACTAGTAATTTCGAGATGAGTAAAATATTTTATGAAATGGATAAGAAGTTTACAGTTATGCTAGATTAAGCTGTTTGAATCAGATGCTTCAAATGGTTATCAGCAAACTTTATAATGACAAGATTTTGCAAGAAAAACTAACTTTATTTTGAAGATGGCTTTTAAAAATCTGCACTGTGTTACAAGGATGTGCCATTATATCTATTTTACAACCCAATATGATTTACACACGCTAAACCTGTAAAATTGAAAGGAATTAAAAAAATGTCGCCGTGCATTTGCTTGAGGTTATGCAGACGCTTTTACAAATCTTCCAAGTGGCTGTAAAGATGAATGCCTCAAGGGTCCAGCCAGGGCCCTGCTTTTCCAACCAGCTAAAGCCCTTATCTTAAATCCAAGCAAAGTACCATTAATCTTTTTGAAAGACCTTTTATGGCTTTTAATATATCCCAAATTAGAACATTTTACACCCTTGGTTCCTGAAATATGGTGATAAAAAGCCTTTAGAGCTTAATTTTCCTTACCGCATGCTCTGACCAATTTGCAGTTCTTTGTGATAATGTTTAGACACCTTAATTAAAATGCAGCAAAATATTGGATGTTCTATATGGAAAATGCTGATACTTTGGCTACACATACAAGAAATTCTGTATATATTTTTATTCATTTAAAAAAATTTATTTCCACATTGTGTTGCTGTAGTTATCTGATGACCTGAAACAGTTTTTTAATATAAAAACTATTGACCATGCTTTTGTGATGTTTACATTGGGCAGGAAGATGCATTTTTCTTTTTATAGAAGCACAAGGGGGATTCTTTTCAGCCTATTTTATTTGTTTGTAATACTGAAACACGGCACGATATTCTTTTATATTCCTCAACTCGGGTTAGTCATCTTGACTGGGAAACTGTGTTTCTTCTGAACCGTCTCTTCCATAGAAGGTCTTATTATCCTTTTATATTTCCAGGTATTTCTGTTATTTTTTTCTTCTCTATGGAAATAAGTGAAACACATTCATTTTAGGCCTGTGAAGGACACAAAAAGGCTATGAATTTTCATCATTACAAGTTAAAAAATTTTTTTCTGTAAAAAATTTATAGGCCAGCTTTGTTAAAAGTTTATCATTTGAAGAACATTCCATTTGACTTGTTCCAAGGTAAAATACATCCCTTTTACAAAAGAAACAGGTCTGCTTGAAAATGTTGCTTCTGCATCTAATCGTTTATGCTTAGTTCACGAAATGATGGGCCTTCTCGTGTGAATACTTGTTTAGTGCTAGTGAGTGACTTTTAACAAGTTTATAGGTGTCCTGTGGGATGTGTGCTCTGAACGGTTACTGTGGTGCTTGCTGGGTGTGCTGGACTTAGCCTTAGAGTGGCTGCACCACTGAAAGCTTCTGGCGTTACGTAACTCTGTCACGGTGAGGAGTCCATTGGAGTCTAACAACTCCATGTCCATGTGCACTGAGATGTTCTTTGTTTTGTCCGTCCTAAATCCAGGAACCTTGTATTGGGAAATTTCAATAAATTAAAACTGTAAGTTATCTCTTAATTTACAACAGGTTTTTTTGTTTGTTTGTTTGTTTGTTTTACATTTTCTAGGACTCGAACCTCAGTCGTTGACCATGTAGGAATCCAGCACCTTAACCTTCACGCCACCTGTCGGTGCAATTTACAACAGTTTTAGTTCTCACATGATTAATGGTACACAATAAATCTGGTTCAGGTCATTTTCGTTTATTGCTCAGAGCATTGGCTTAATATAGGGTAAACTAGCTGAGTAAAGTCTTTTTTGGGGGGATGGGTATAAAACTATATTATAGTTTTACGTTATATAAACTGTATTGTAAAACGATATTATAGTTTATATAATATAAAACGGTATTACCAAATATGCATATTGGAGTTTAGTTGATGAAAAAAGATTTTTGTGTTTTCTCTTTGAGGGGGAGGGTACAAGAAAGAGACTAAATCCTTATAGGAATGTGAAGAGACCGATTGAGCGTCTTACACACAGCAAGCTATGTTTTATGGCAAAAGTTAGCTTAGTAGGTACATTCACTTCTCCCCTAGCATTCCCTTGTGCCTCCACATTTCCCGGCTCCCAGTGTGTAGATGGGAAGTAGTCCGCTTCTGGACTGACGCATTTAAGAGCCAGCTCTTCTGTCCCTATAGTGAACCTGGAAGCCATGTGTCTAGATGCTGGTACCACAAAATGGAGGACACCTTGCCCATCCACAGGGACTTCAGTGAAATGAGAAACAGAAGTTCAGCTAGTCAGATTTGGGGATTTATTCGAATCCAGCAATGTTTTTTAGCCTCACCTGGTAGGTGCTAACTTTGTTTTTTACATGTATGACAAATGAATGGTTTTCCGGTGAAAGGGAATTTTATCTTAATGATAAATTATGCCACAGTTTCATTTTCCTCTGAGAAAATAAGGCTATAGCCCTTTGGCTCTTGGTCTTTCTCTGGTTGACTTAGGTGAAATTTTCTATGCCAAATAGATCTGAAAAGCAAACCAAAAGAACAAAACCAGTAGTAAAGCATCAGCTGTAACTGATGACCTCTTCTTGCCAGCTCCAGGATGTAAAAGCAAGCCCTGTTTTGTTTAATGCTATATCTCTAGTGCCTAGAACAGTGCCTGGCCAAACCATGCGTTTGTATCTTCATAGGCGCTTTGAGTGAATGGTGTCCTTGTAAAAAGGGTGTGACTACAGCAGTTTTGCTAGTTTTGGTTTCACGTTTGAGAAGACACTGAGGTCTGCCTTCCCAGGTGGGCTCTCAAGTCACTATCAATCCTCCTGGTGACGTTGACCAATTCAACACCTTGGTTTGATTGTCAGCCTCCTTCCATTTGCTTAGTGTTCTCTCTACATACTTCCTTTCCTGGACTGAAATAACAGATCTATTTTTGCTCTCATTTATAAACTCCAGCCAGTGCTTGATTACTACTTGTCTATTTAACCCTAAAGGAAACTGTTCTTCAAGATAAGCTGAAAGATGTCAAGCACGCCGCACCTCACTTTCTTAAATTGGCTTCTCTCCTTACACATGTGCTCTTAACCTCCTACCATACCGTACTATGGGCAAGCAGATCCCTGACACTTGGGCTTCAGTACATTGACTTTAGAGTGACTTTAAGGTTATTTCCTTTTTTCCACAAGCTCGCTTGTCTACTGTGTTAGGCTGAACACAGGGATAGTAAATGTAAGAAATACTAGCCTTTGTTGTTTGACCTGCGTTCTTAATGGACACTTTTGAGCCATCCACGTGCCTGTCTGGGAGATGCTTACCTGGGAACAGCTATAGCCAGAGAGCTGTGTAGAGCAGAGTTTGTAACTGCGAGGTTATCACATAGAAGCTGAAGAGCTGAAGAAATACGGAAATAAGAACTGTTTTCGGTTTATGCTAGGGAAGACTTCTGGGATGGGGAAAGGCTTAGTTTTGAATGGTCCTTTGAGGACTGGCAGATGCGTTTAAAGGGGCCCTGAGTAAGAAGCTCTGCTCGGTACAAGGATCCACCTCTAGATACTATGGTCCTGGGGCCCAGCCTTTGCACCTCTTAGCACCCCTCATCCTTTTTCTCTCTGTGAGTTAAAAGCTGTTACCCATCATACAAAGTACATTTATGAAGTAGTAATTAGCTTTCCCATGTTTTATTAATCACATCTATGACTGCCAATCAGAGCTTCTGATCAGCATGAGATAAATGGTGTGACCATACTGAGTTGCTATAATTCTAGCCCAGAGCAAAGAAACTTGATGTCTCTGTCAATCTGTGCAGCCTTATCAGGGGTAAATTCCTGTTCAGCCTACTGAAATGCTGAAATAGCTTGAAGATCCTCATTACTACCTTTGTGAACCCTCGAGGGGCCTCAGTTTGGGAAGGATTTCCATCCAGAAGACTGGCACAACTAGGGTAAAGGGTCTGTGGGGAGGTAAGAGAAATATGGGCCATGTCTGTATATTTATTCATTATATTTTGTTCAAGGGGGCCCAAGCATAGAATTTCTAATTTCAGGACATGGCTTTCTTACCCACAAGGTTCAGTCATCTTATTAGTGTAATTTTTACATTAGCTGGAATATTTATTTTCATTTTTTTTTCTTTGTAAATTCTCAGCTTGGTGTAAAAATTGCCAAAGCAGTTGCCTGCCACAACTTCGTAAAAGCCAAAAAGGAAGCTGAAAATTCACAGGCTGCTCGAAAAAAGAAGAAACTCGCATGGGGGTAAGTTTACTTAAGATTTTTGTAGTAATTCCGTTGACTTTATAGGAATTGTAGGAATCCAGCTGATCCATATTGTGAATCCAGTTTGTATATAATGGCTACTCATTTTACTCTTTGTATCTTTGCTGGAATGTTTATCAGATTATGTATGATGGCTTGTTTTTAGTCTTTATTATGTTTACTTTGTATTCAACAGAGTATGTGAAAAACGTAAGTTTGTTTTACTTTGGTCACTAAATAAACATGTTTCTTTAGCAAAGTATTTATCTTGTTTTAGAAATTAATTGAGATTTTTATGTTCTTCATTTTAGGTTTGAAGCGAAGAAGAGATGGGAAACCAAAAGCAACATGGGATACATGTAACTTACCGGTTCTTCAAGACAGTTGGAGACTCACGTGCTCAGTTTACCAGAAAGCCATTCTTGCTTATGTTAAAAACGTCAGGAAAGTGATAGAGAAAAAATAAGCATAAAATTTGGGAGCTGATAATCAACTCTTTTCAATCTTTTTCTAAGTTCATCCTTTGAAGGGGAGGCATTCAGTTACTTTTGTAAGGAATCTATGCATTACGTACAGAAAAGAGGATGGTGTTTTATTTTATTTTCGTAGACATGCAGTATAAATTCAGTTTTGCTTTTTTTCATCCCTTTGGCAACCATGAGCTCCTTGTCTTTCCTTATCTGTACACTGTGTGTCTGTGCTTATTCTGGAGTTGTGTTTTTAAAATTGGCATTCGTTTATAATGGATTAGTCATAAGTGTAAAAAAAAGTCTCAGTTGATACCATCTCTTTACAAATGCTTTATTTGCTTGAATGTAATAAAAGTAATTATTGATTCTGTACTAGAAACAACAGTTGATATGTCATAGTCACATAGTAAAAGCAATTGATTAATTTTTGTGTACCTTCATATAAGTTATGACAATAAAAGAAGGAAAGAATGTAGTATTTGGAGACTGATTTAAATTCAGCTCTGCGGAGAAGTGTCTTCCTAATATCTGTTTCAGCCATATCATTCTATAAATTATGGATGGTTTCTCAGAAAGAGAAAATGGTATAATTGTATAAACAGGCAATTATAACTCAAGGTAATATATCTTTGAACTATCTAAGAACTGGTTTGTTTTTACTCCTTTCTCCTGTTACTCCTTAAGAGATTGATGAATTAATGAGGATAAAGAGAAGACTGGTACCACGGGAGGTACTTTTCATCAGACATGCATGTCACTGTACTGATGGGAAGGGTGTTGAGGAATCATGACAAGCTGGTTAACAAGACCATGGATGTCTGGGCATTTCCATGCAGACTAGAGTTAAAGAAATGCTTACCGTCATTTTATCAGTTCGCCTTTTCCCCTCAGCCACCATCAGAGGTTGTCTAGCTATCTGATGTAAACTTTCTGTGATTGATAAAGGAGTCATGAGTATAACTGCCTTATGTTACTTTTAGGCGTAAAATAGTAGCAAAATTATATTTATCTCTGGTGACACAATGTTTTTGCTGTGTTATGGAATAAGTGAGTAACTAGTTGCTATTTTGAGTCCAAAAAGAAGTCTTTCTTCCATTTAAATGAGAAAAGCCAGTGTGGAAAAAGTAAGGTTTTAGGAGATTGTGCTTCTATTAATTCATTATGAAAAGGTAGCCAGACCAAATACTGGAAAATATTTTATCATCTAGTATTTCCTGCCCCACTTGATAGACGAAATCATGTATTGTTTATCGGCAGCATCCCATTTCAGACTCCTCACAGCAAGTCCGAACTTATAGTATAGGAACCTTTTTTCAAAAAATTCCTTATGGCAGTACTATCTACTCCGCAGTTTAGTGGTTTTGTCTGAAATATTAAAAGCTGTTATCCTTTAGCAGGTGGGTAAAAGGGTAACATTTAGGGCCCCCAAGCAAGCCTTTTCCTTCCTTAGAGCATTTAGTGACCCCTGCAGGCTCATTTCACTAAGGTTCTCTGCTGAGCAAGGCCTTTCCAGGGTGGTGTCTCAGAGTCTGATTTGGGAGCCCCTGCCTGCAGATCTAGCCACTTGAGCCTAATGCACTGCCAACAGTTGCCCCCTCACCTACTCAGGTTCTCAAGTAGATGGGAACATTTTAACTGAGGAGAAGGCAGTGTGGTGGGATCAGATGTGCCAGGGGACTCCCTGGATAAGGGAAGCCATGCCTCATAGGTCCCTGTTCTATTAGGTGTACGGGCTGTGGAAAGCTCCTTACCTTCAGGATACAGCAGAAGAGGGAGTGGGAGGGAGGGCTTAAGGGAGTGGAAGGGGACTGGTTGTCTTGGTTGCCCTGCTGACATGTCATTTAGGACCAGTTTTATTTGATCGGCTTTAATAGGAATGATACATTTTACTCATTAAAGTAGCAAAACTGAAACATTATCCATAGCGTGCCTGTGTTGCCGAAAGGGCATAGTCATTTGTCCTCTCCATTCTGGTCATAGCAAAATAAGGATTCTTTTGGGATCGGTAATAACCTCAGTTCCTGAAGCTTCAACATGTGCATTTACTACCACCAGAATGCCTGAATTAGATTAGTAATGTAAATGTCAGCTATTGTTACCTGAGATTAATATGTTTCAGGCCATCGGTATGACATTAATGTAACTATGATTTACTGCTCAAGTACTTCAGGCTAAATCAACTAACGAAAGAACAGTAATTTCGAGCTTTACAGCTCTGATTCTGAGAAGTAAAGTTGGTAGTGCATTCTTGTTTGGGAGCCCTCGGGATGTTTCTGATTTTCACAGAACATTCTATTTCTTTCACCAAAAGGAGAGTTTGAATTTATAATTTCAGGTTCGCTATAATTAGTTCTGATGACAGAGTTAAATACCTTGGCCAAGACTGTAAATCAGTGGTTAAGCAGGTTTCTGCAACTGATCATAAATCTCAAACTCCCTATTTTAAACACTTATTTTTTCAGGCAGACAGATAAGGGGAGGGGCAGGCCAAGGACAGGAATAAAATGTTATCAGATCTATAAAGTAACAGCTTAGAACCTCACATTTAAAATCTGCTAATTCTCTTTATACCTTTTACCTAATATAGTATCTTTTAAATATTTTAATAACTTAGCTTATTAATAATGCTGATAAGAGAAGTTTGACCTTAATTCTTAAAATACAAAGGTGTAATTTGCAAAATGTCAAAATTTTCATTTTAAAATAAAGATACATTTTTAGAAACATATCTGGATAACTATAAAAGATTATGAGGTTGATGTGTAAAATGCCAATTGTACATTATTTTTTAAGTGATAAAGTTTAGGAAAACAAGCTGATGTTAATGTCAGGCTCCATTTGGAAAATAAGCTTACTGAAACCTAATAGTCAAATTCAAAACCAGCTGAAACAGTTCAAGTTTTTCCATGTTGGCAGAAGTCGCTTTTATTTTTAGTATCTGGCAGAGCTACAAATGCTTTGCATGTCAATTTGATATTTTTTCAAGCCAACTGTTTATTCATTGGCTTAAAATTTACACTCTACTAAAGTCTTAGCTCTGACTTTCATGAAACAAATAGTAATATTTGGACAAAATATGTACATGAAAATCTTTTTCCAAAACCAAATGTAGATTGGTATTTGTGGCATCAGTGCCTTCAAACACGGTAATGGATCTGAAAGTACTTTGAAAAGTCTAAGGCAGAAACTCATGGCAGTGCATTAGAAGTCATTTTATTATGAAATAGAGTATTTTCTAAGTTTCCAAACTTAAATTAGCAAGAGACTTTGTCCTGGAAGCATAGTTTCTATGTTACAGTAAGTTTCAATAAACTATCAGAAGATGTTTTATCAACATGTCTATCTGTAACCTTTGTAGCATCCTGAGGAAAGGAGGTCCAATTTCCATTTTCTTAAGAATTATTTAATTTATTCTTCTTATTTTTTAAATTTGACCAGAGAGAAATAGAAATTGAGAAAGCAAGCCACGAAGTCCAGGGCTCAAACCACAGTCAGCCATGTAAGAGTTTAACCTTAACCACCAAAGCATCTGCCAGCCCCTCATTTTCCATTTTTGAGATTCAGGTGCTCTGGAGATATTGACAAAATGAGAGCACTGTATTTTTCAGTCTTTTATTTTTTTTAATCTCTCCATACTACTCACTTTAAAAGGAAACAAAAAAAAACAAAAATCCACCCATATCCTTGTGTTGTAGCTGTCATCAGCATGAAGACACTGGAGAAGGGATTCTTTTCCCCCCTGGAGAAGTTTTTGCTATAGGGTGTGTGTGCTCATCAGAAAGACAGAGAGAGACAGAGAGATAGAAAGTGAGAAGTCACCCCCCCGGGGGTGGGGGGGGGATGGCCACGCTGCAATCTGGAGAAGGGATTCTGGACTTTAATAGAGAACACAGCGCATGAGGCAGGTCAAGATTGCCATGAAAAACTTAGAAGGGGTCAAACCATTTTGCGCTAGTGTTAAAATGGAGGACGGTGCCTCTTGGGCAGTACCTCATACTCGTTTGTGAGTAATCTGGCAGAGTGTGTTCACCAGACCTGTTTCAAGTACAGTGGTGCTGTCGGTGAGGTGTCCTGCCACACGGGCTCTGGTGATCTGGATCCCTGAAACACAACTGTAGGCTTCTGATGGACTGGTTTAGTAAATGCATGCAGTAGGTTGTGTTTCCAAATGTGCTTTAAAATCAAGAGTGAACTGAAGGGTAACTATCTTTTTATTGGTATTAGTAACCCCTTTGTAGGTTCAAGTAGAAAAAGTGTAATAATTTTCCAAGTGCAATGACATTTTTTAAAAAATTGAATTTAAATGCATGCTTATTACATCCAGACCATGTTTCTTAAGGAGACACAGAATACAGAGGAATGAAGGGGGGAAGGAGGGTGGTGCCCAAAAGAAGCCCCGGCTCCCAAGTGCTCCTACGCCAGCCTTCCTCCTGTGCCTACTCACTGGCACCGTCTAGGCAGCTCCAGGTCACACCTCCTCCTTGGCCTGTGGGGCTACCTCTTGCTGCATTGCTGCAGGGGGGCTGCTCTGTGACAAGTATGGAATGAGGTAATTTTTTCCCACCTCTAATTTCTGAAGGGTGTGTCTGTCCAGTTATTACTTGTTCATTGAACTGAAAGTTTAAGAAACCAGCAGTTACCATACAAGCTGTAATTATTGATGTCTGTTTCATATTCATCTGTAAATTCTGGCATTTGATCAAGAAGTTAATATATCACTTCATCTTCAGGCTAAATGTGCCTCAGCTATAAAGGTTTTATTGTCAGATGGATAGCGTACAATTATGACTGTCCAGAATAAAAAGTGTTTTCATTTGTAAGGTGGATGATACTAGGAGTAATTATGAATGTCACAAATAGTGGAACAATGAAGCTTTGCATTGCGTTGAATTCCACTCTCTGTGATACCTGAGAAACATTTACCAAACACCTACTATATGTCCGATACTAAACTGATTTTCTTGCAAATGCAAAGATGAATAAGCACAGCCTAATGGGAAATATAGGATGACTTCAAAAAGCCTGTGGGAGGGACCAGCAGGTGGTGTGGTAGGTAGTTAAGGTACTGGATTCCCACATGGCAAACCATAGTTTGAGTCTCAGACCTGGCAGATTAACAGTCATGCCAGGTGCATGCACATGAGAGCCTAAACCCTTAAGAGGAGAATGGGGGTGAAAGGATTGTGGTGTGGCGGTCCCATGGGGTGGGGGTGGGGTGATTTCTCACTTTCCCTCCCTCTGTCTCTGGTGAGTACAAACGCCCTATGACAAAAACTTAATAATAGTTTGTGGCCAAATGGAATTAAAGTATGAGTTTATTTTGCTGCAGTTTTTTAAAAAAATTATGTGTAGTGTTTTCATAATACATATTTTCTACGAATATTTTGAAGGCCACCTATGTATGTAAACTGTGTTTTGGACAACTTGAGTTTTAGGTGGGCTGTGAGAAAATCAGTGACTTTTTTCTTTGCTGAATAC